GCACGTGCAGGCCACGTCGTTGCGCGGGCGTCCCCGCTGCGTGGTGGCACCACGCGCAGCTCCGGGAGGGCTCGCCCGGGTCACCGTCGTGTCTCCCTAGAGCAGGGGCCTCAGCCGCAGCGCTCTTGTCGCTCCGGGCTCTCCCTTGGGGACGGCTGTCCGCATTCGGACTTCACCCTGGTGGGCAGCGATTCAGTCAGTCACGCCGGCACGAGGAAACCTCCATCGGGCTGGACACGGTCGTCGAGCTGAGCTCCGGCTGGCAGGCCTCCGTGCATGCTGTCAGCCAGGTGCCAGGAAGGCAGCGCCCCCTGAGGGCGAAGGGGCTTCTTCCTGGGGGTCCCTTGGCCTCTCTCCCTGCGCCTCTTTCTTGGCTGGGTCTAATTTGTACCCTTTCCGTGTAATACACGTGAGCATAATTGCTTTCAGTGAGTCCTGTGACTCTCGGTAGCAAATTACTGAAACCTAGGGCGCTTTGGAGGAGCCCCCTGCCGGCAGTGGTCGGAGGCTTGGGCAGACTGGGCCGACTGGAGGGCTACACCCTATTCTCGCAGTTCGGCACCCCAAGAAGTAATTGCGCCTGGCCGTCACGTCCTACAGAAACACCCCCTCTCCTCCCTCCCTCTGCTTCTCTTCTCTTTCTCCTTGTCACGCCTCCTGTTTTTCATCTTCCTGTGCTCCTCCGTTTTTATCAGCCCTCACTCATCCCATTATAGTAACACCTGGGAGCCCAGGTGCCACACCTGCACGACTAGAGGGTTAACCTGCGGGCAGGCGAGGGGGATGAAGAAAAACACAGAGACATAGGACAGGAAAAGCTGGGGCCAGGTGCGACGCTGCGCTCCAGTGGAGATACACATTTATCATACACATCTGAAGGTCGGGGGGTTTGGGGGGTACTTCTCAGGACTTGGAACTGGCTGGCAACAATAACCTCCCGAAGGCCTGCCTGTACCTGGTTATCAGGGCTAAACCACAAGCAGCTGTCTGTTCTCTGCTTCTCTGCCCTCGGCAGATTGCAACACGGTCAACCATGGCTTTGCCAATGCTTCGACCACAGGTCCGGTGCAGACCCGGCTCTCTGCACCCTGGGTCACTAAACTGGGACGTGCCGGCATGGGGAGATCTCTGATTCAGAGCATCTGTGAGATGTCCCCACGTGGCCACCAGGGCATTGGGAGAAAGAATCCCTTCAGGCTTTTGTGCTAAACATTTTGTTCTGCAAGTCATCGTAGAAGTGTGCAAGTCTCTTTGTGAACACTGAATACAGCTAAAGGGGAACTGCGCTTGCCGAACGAGTTCGCTGGCCGGCCCTGCCGAGCCTTGCTGGGAGGTGAAATCACTTATCTGAAGGAAAAAAGGACTCAGCACTTTTACTTGTTTGTTTGCAGGGAAATGCATGGACGGCGTGTGAGATGAGTGACTCGGAAGACGACGGTGTCCCCCGGCTGTCCTCGCACACCTTAGCAGCTCTTCAGGAATTTTATGCTGAGCAAGAGCAGCACGCCGGCCTGGGTGGGGGTGACAAGGACAGCATTGGGGTGATAGAGGAGAACTGGGTAAGTGGGGCTTGTTCTGGACCTGGCCCAGCGGGTGTCTGTCCCACTGATACCCAAGTCTGTGTTACCTGTCACTAGAGGAGAACTGGGTAAGTGGGGCTTGTTCTGGACCCGGCCCAGCGGGTGTCTTTCCCACTGATACCCAAGTCTATGTTACCTGTCACTCGGGAGCAGACCCCTCTGGGGAGCCAAAGCAGAAAGCAGCCCACGGGAATTTTAAGGCGGCGTAAATGCCGACCTTCCTGCTTCTGCTCTCGGGCTGGTCGCTGACCAGACACGACCAGCACAGGCTCTAGCATTCTGCCTCTGCATATGGCGCCAGCGTCCCTCGTGGGAAGGGCAGCTGTGTCACTGCAGGAAATGGGGCAGCCGAGCTTCAGATGTGATGAAACATTGGTGAAAGGGAGTTTTTAAGAAGATACTGATAGTTTCTGGTGTATAGTATTTTAATTGTATGTTCATGGTCCAAATGAAAATCGGAATTCAAAAGGAAGACAAACGAGTTGAGGGAAACTCCTAGCCTAAGCAGGAACGTAGAAATTTAGACTTTTAAGGAGATGGTTGAGATATAGCTGAGACCTGATCGTCGTCGACCGCCCTGGATGACATCAGTGTTTCCCATCCCTTTGCACCCGCAGTGAAGCGTCCATGTGCTTATTGGCTTTTTTTTTTTTAAGTCTTTTACATTTCATCAAATTTGGATCTCAAGTTACATAAAATTTTCCGATTTGCCCCATGTTGGAAGCTGACGGATAAAGTGTGCCTTTCCAGTTCTCTAAACGACCTGCCCACACAGAAGCCTCCTTCCCGCCGTGTCCCTCCTTTCCGGGTTTCTGCCCCCAGCTGGGAGCTTCCGCGGATGAGAGCTTGGAGAGCCGCGTTATTCCTGAGTAGCCTCTCTCTCGTCCTTCTGCTTAATTCTTAAAATACTGTGTGCTTTGTTCTGATTCTAAAAGTAATCTACAGGAAATATATGGACAAAAAAATAAGTTCTAATCTTGCACAGAATTGACTATTTTATAATTTTGACACTTTTTAAATTTTTTCAGTTACAATCGACACAGTATTGTGTGAGTTTCAGGCGTACGGCAGAGCGCTTAGACCTTTACATAGCTTGCGAAGTGATCGCCCCAGATAGTCCGTACCCACCTGACATCACACATTACTGACCGTGTCCCCTGTGCTGTGCTTCGCGTCCCATGACTGTTTTGTCCGCCAGTTTGTACTTCTTAGTTTCTTCCCCTTTTTCACGCAGCCCGCCAGCGCCCCTCCCATCTGGCGACCATCAGTGTGTCGTCTGTTTTATGTGTTTGGATTCCACATGTACATGAGACCTTAATAGTGTTTGTCTTCCTCCGTCTGACTTAGTCAGCACAATACCCTCTAGGTTTATCTGTGTTGTCACAAATGGTAAGATTCCACCCTTTCTTGCGGCTGAGTCACGTACGTCCTACCTCTTTTTTATCCTGTCATCTGTCGATAGACACCTAGGTTGCTTCCGCATCTCGGCTGTCGTGAATAGTGCTGCAGTGAACACGGGGATGCATACGTGTATCTTTTCGAATTAGTGTAATACGGTGCGAGTAAGATTTTTATTTTTAATAACAATGTGAGAGCCAAAACATGTCATTGTGCCTGACAGTGTGGGAGTGAGGGAAAGGGTAGCTCAGCCGCCTGCCACCAGGAAACTCCCTCTCGGCGGAAGCCCCCGCATCCCATGCCCCCCACTCCAGCTCCCCCGTAGGCAGAGTCACAGCGGGCACTTTCCCTGTGGCTGAGTGGTCAGACACATGTCACCAGACGTGTTCGTGTGTACGCTTACCCAGATTAATGTCTACAATTTGTTTTTGGAAATGTTTTTTCTCTTGGCATTTTCTCGTGGAATCACGTAACCTGCAAATATTAACACTTCTTTTTTGACTGTATTTTCTTGTGTTAACGCAATGGCTACATCTTGCAGGGAAATGTTGGGTATGAGTATTGAACATAGACACCTTGCTCCTTATCTTGGGAAACGCCTTTCACTCTCTTTTTAAGATGCCCTTGATCAGTTTAAAGAAGTCTCTGCTATTCATAACTTGCTAAGACTTTATTTTTTAATTATGAAGTGGTGTTGAATTTTTTGAAATGCTTTCTTCTTTCACATGTTGGAACGATCATATGTTTTTCTGTAAACATTTAAACCTGGACGTATGAGCTGTCAGCTGCCCTGGCCCTGCCATGTCGCATGGCAGAGGAATCCATTTTTTCCATTAAAATCACCTTTAATGTATAAATGAGAGTAGATAATTAAGGCTCAACAGAAATTTAGATAGAAATCATCTATCAGCATGAATAGAAGGATCCAGATGAAAAACCAACCACCTGCCCCTGAGAGAAAAAACAGCAATTTGTGAAACATACCCTCCCCGCCACCTTCCGTGCATGCGTGTTGCCTGGCCCTCGGCAGCGGACTCCAGAGGCTTAACTCAGACGTGGGTTCGGTTTTCCTGGCAGGACTCACACACTGAGGGGCGCTTTTCCATCAGGAGAAGCGACTGCTTGTCTGCTTGGTGATGTCAGCCGCTGACACCCTGTGCCTACGTTGCATTAATGAGTTAAGGCCTTCTGTTCATTGAAAATAATTTCTAAAAAATAGTTTCAACAAATAAATTTAAATCCATGCCCAGATTTCAATGTAAAAACAACATTTATGCCAACTGTAAAATGATTTCAACTCTCCTCTGTCACAGCAATTGAGCCAGTTCTGGTACAGCCAAGAGACAGCGTTGCGGCTTGCCCAGGAAGCCATCGCCGCTGCCGGGGAAGGTGGCAGGTAAGGTCACACTTTCGTCCTTCCTCCGTGAGAGGCAGTTTGTGAGAAGTCTGGGCTGCAGTCTGCAGAACTGTGGTTTGCTTTTTGCACAAGAGGAACAAGACCCCTTCGGGCTGAGTTTCGGGGCCCTGGGACCTACGCACGGGGTGTCTCGTCTCTACTGTTCCTCTCACGTGCTGACAGCGTCTTTCTTTCAAACCCCTGGAGTCTGTGTTAAAAGAAAAAATCTGTGTTTGACCTTTCTGAAGTTTGAAGAGCGTAGGTTTTCTTTTAATTTGGTTTATCAGAACGTTACATTTACACAATTTAAAGGAAATGATATGGTCCTAAAAGGCTTGTTCAAAAAAATACCCCTTGCCGATTTTTCCTTTGCCCATCTCCTCCCTCTTCAGCTCCGTCAATGGACCCTTTGGGATTTCCAGCTGCACTTCTACATACACATTTACGTGGGCATCTTGGCATTTGTCACTCGTGATATTTCCTGATCTCGCAAGAGAATGACGGTTGCCCTCCCCCCGCCCCGCCGCGTGCACCCTGATTTGGGGTACATTGTAAGGGAAACATTGTTATAGCTCAGCCTTTTACTTTTTTCTTTCGAAGAAAATACTTCTCTTTTTTGTTTCCGTGTTTATATCACTAACCCTCAGGTTCGTCCCAATTTGTGCAAATCTTCCGTCAGTAAAATCAAAGCTATGTCAAATCCTTGAAAAAAATTTTCCTCCAGGGCTTTGCCACCTCCTCCAGGCTGGACTCCCGGATTTCTAACTAGAGGTCCTATCGAGGTCCGCCTTTCCTGTTATGCTGAGGGTCCTCTGTCCTTGCTTCTATTCTGGATCCTGTTTCCTGCGCCCAGTTCACCTGGGTTGGGTGCACCCTCAGTCCCTTCCATAGAAAAGACGCCCCGGAGGGACACGTGGGACTCTCTCTGTGGTGCTGCCTCAGCACCGCCAGGCCTGCGTGGGTCTGCGGGGCCTCCTGGGCTGTCCCCTCTTCTGGTGGGACACCGGCTTTCTCCCACCCTAGTGCGGGGCCGGCTTAGGGCGCCTCTGAGTCCGCAGGGCTGGCCCGGCCTGGGGCGTCTGTCCCTTGGACTGGTGGCTGGCCCCTCAGTGGGGGCACTGGCTCAAAGTGCTCTGATTTCCTTCCCGCTGTCTCTTGTCCCTCTTTCTGCGACTCCTGTCACGTGGACGTTGGATCTGATCCCTGCTGCTTTTACCCCATCCATCGTCTTTTTTACCTTATTTCCTGGGAAAATCCCTCACCTTTATCCTCTGCGTTCACCATCCACACAGGATGAGCCGTAGCTCTTTTCGGGGTCTCTGACGACTGCATCTCGTCCAGCCTTCAGGGGCTGCTGATCTCAGGATCTCAAACGCTGTCTCCTCCCTACACCTGTTTACTCCAGGTGCCTTTTCTCTTCGCTTATTTTGGCTCCTGGTATTAGGTGTTTGCCCCTAATGTGCGTTCACGTTTAGGGGTGGGGGGGCACTCAGAACCTGGAAGCTGATGCGCGGCTGACCTCACCTGTCTGGTCTGGCCGGGTGACCTGGACAAACCCCCGGTGTCTCTGGGCGTGGTCTTTCCTTGCGGGCCAGTCAGAGGTGGTCTTCTGACGCCTGCCTGGGAGTCGTGTGACTGGCCGTCACCATGGGGGGCGCATGGCGGAGTAGGCTGGAGGTCCGAGCCCCGGGGGCTTTGCCCTAGCCCTGCTGGCAGTGCCTGCCACCCCCTTCCCCATCCCAAGGACATCCCTCTGGTTCCTGGAGGGACAGGGCCTGGGAGGCTTGTACAGGGCAGAGTCCTGGGAACAGGTGTCCTCTCAGAGGGACCCTCCCCTGACCTGAGCGTCCAGAGCCCCTAGGGCCGGGACAGGTTGTCGCCAGGCCTGGATCCGCGTCTTGGGGCCTCTGTGCTGACCCCACCTCCCCTGCCGTCCAGCTTCCTAGGCGCGCCTGTCCCCCTCACACTCCGCACGCAGGCTCACGCTGGACCGTGCAATGGATAGAGCCGCCCTGTGTCTCGCTGGGCGAGGGCCCTGTGCGGTGTGTCCATCCGGGTTTTCAACCCAAGTCCCGCGTCTTCCTCCTTTGTCCTTGGTGTCTCTCAGGGGCGCGTCATTGTGCGCCAGGCGTTCCTCGGTGACAGTGTCTCTGCGTGCTCTTTCACGAGGGCTCTGCAAGCGGCTTAGTTTTCCCGAACGGCACCTTCAGGCACTGTCACGGTTTTAGAGGCGGCGCGTGCCCTGCCCGCCACGTCCTGCTCTGCCAGGGTCCCCCGTCTAGCCCTCAGCCCTGAGGCAGTCACCATTGTGTGCCCTTTGAAGACACGCTGGGGCCCAGAGATCAGCCACTGGCAAGTCACCAGGGGTGAGCTGCCCTCGGTTCCACTGCTGTGTGACAAACGCCACTGCCCCCACCGGGTCCTGCAGCTCTGCGCTCGCTGCTGATGTCAGGCGCTACCTTCTGCCCAACGCAGACCCTTTAGAATTTTCAGTGACGTTCTGCTGGCAACAAGGCCAGATTTGGTTTGTCCAAAAATGTCTTTATTTCACTCTTTCTCGGTGACGCTTCATTGTCTCCTCTGACCTCAGTCACTGCTTGGCATCTTAGCATGGAGCAGACGTGGCTGCATGTCCTTGGCCTCCCCCACCCCCTAGGGCTCTGGTGGCCCCTGCCTCCCCGGGCCTCGACATGCATGCTTCTTACAGAAGTGTATGTGACGTGGCAGGCTTTGACACACGTTGCAGGTGAATTTGGGCCAAGATGCCAGCCCAGCCGGGGCCCCTACTCCACTCGCGTGACGCTGTTTAGGTTGAGAAATGCATCTCACAGTGTCAAAGCTGAGTTTAATTTTTTTAAAAAGTACTTTTTAAATGACCACGTAATGCATGGTAAAAATCTAAGTTACACAGTGGGTTGGGAGCCACTCTCTTCCCCTGTCTCCCGTGGGGCGGCCACAGGGTCTGGCTCGGCCCGAGCGCATGTCCCCAGTCTGTGCCAGTACTTTGGCCTCACGCAGAAAAGCAGCAGAGTTCACAGTTACGTCTGCACCGAGTCTTTGCTTCTGTGCGTCTCTCTGGAGCTGTGGAGTGGCTCAGGCAGTTACTTGGGTTTTTTTTTTTCAAGATGATGTTTTACTACAAAAGACCTTCAAAACATTGAGACTAACAGTATTTGAAATGAATGTAAAAGGAACGTGAAAACCATGGGTGAATTTAGGCCTTGGATTCTCTGACGTTTGTTCTGACGTGCCCTGACGGTTTACATGTCTCGCCCTAAAGGCACACTTACCCTTCGCACCTTGAAATTACAAGTCGCATGTTTTTAAACACCAGACTCCCTAAAAGGAGGCTGCATGAAATGCACTCAGACTGTCCTGTCGTTACCTCTGTGGAGGTCTGAGCACAGGGCCTTGTTCTTAGCAAAGGTGTCGCCCACCCACACGGGGCACTGTGGCTGATGGTCTGTCTGCCTGTGTGTTTTCCAGGGTGGCCTGCGTGAGCGCCCCCAGCGTCTACCGGGAGCTGCGGGAGCTGTGCGGGGGGCGCATCTCCGCCTGCGTGTTTGAGTATGACCGGCGGTTCGCCGTGTACGGGCCGGACTTCGTCTTCTATGACTACACCCGCCCCCTGGACCTGCCTGGGCACGTGGCAGCACACAGCTTCGACATCGTGGTGGCTGACCCCCCCTACCTTTCTGAGGAATGTCTCCAGAAAACCTCTGAAACCATCAAGTACCTGACTCGGGGCAAGATTCTGCTGTGCACAGGTAGGTCGGTGACAGGCCTGCAAGCCTCAGGCTTTAGGCCAGGGTGGACCCTGGACCCATTGCTTACCGCATGACCCTGGGCAAGTTAGGTGTCCCTGTGCCCCGCTGATTTACCTCAGCTGGGACCGAAGCGGCTGCCCACCTTGCGGAGTCATTGAGAGTCGGTGGCGTGACGCATGCACGCAGAGGTCTGGCACGTGGTGCACGTACTGTGGCAGTAAGTCTTAGCTTTGTCAGTGCTGGTCGACCTGGTGTCTGCACTAGACGGCTCGGCGTCAGGCGACTTGGTTAACGCAGAGGGGCCCTCTGCAGAGGACGGGACACAGGCCCAGGGTGCTGTCCCCCAGCCCAGGCCGAGCCGCAGGGCTCTTCTCACAGCTGAGAACTTGGCCAAGAACCCAACCCTTGTCCACAGGAAGCGTGCGCTCACGTGCCAGCAGCTGCAGCAGCCCTGCGTGCCCGCCGGCGGGGCCCCGTCCTGCAGCGTGGCACTCAGCTTTAGGCCTCAGGTTAAAAGCCATAAGAAAGACGAGCGAAGACACGAATTCTCCATTCTAGCGAGTGCCACGAAAGCATTGGGGCGCTGCACAGGCCGTGGGGCGGGACTTTGGGTCTGGCAGGGCCTCCGGTGACCCCGGCTGAGAGAGCCCCGTGCAGGTCAGGGTGGGGACTTTGAGGGTGTTCAACCCCAAATGGTGGGGCCTGGTTTGTCTAAGGAAGTTCGCTTTAGCGCTGCACCAGATGGGATCCCCAGGGCTTCCCGTCCAGGCAGAGGTGAGGTCTGGATGTGCTAGGCGGGAGCTGGCACCCTTGGGAGCGAGGCTGGAAGCAGCACCGGCTCTGCCTGTGGGTTGGGGAGGGGTTAGGTGGATGCCACTCTCAACCTGTGCATGGCACCCAGGGGACATGTCCACAGCAAGGGCTGTGCTGGACCCGGCGCCAGGGGTCGGGTGGGGGGGTGGCGGGGCAGGGAGGGACATGGGCAGAGGGGATAATGGAGTTGTCAGCCAGAGGCTGCTGGGACACAGCCCCCGGGTTTGCAGGACTGGACGTCGCTAGAAAGCGTTCTCAGTCAGAATCAGAAAAGCAGTTTTAATGATTGTAATTTTCTCCGTGGTGCGTTTCTCAGCTTTGCAGAGGCAGAGAAATCAGACAGGAAACGAAGGTGTGGGCGTTGGCGAGTGTGGGGAGGGGACCGGTGGTTTGCAGAGGCAGAGAAATCAGAGAGACAGGAAAGGAAGGTGTGGGCGTTGGCGAGTGCGGGGAGGGGACCGGTGGG